TGAGCATATAGGGTTTTCAACCCACAATAATTATATTTAATTTCAACAATCAACAATAAACCCGATTACCCATTCCCGTTATCCTCACCTTACGTTCCTAAAAATAACGTCTATTATAAGGAACCTATTTCAGGATTTTTCATCGGGACGGACATACTGCAGAGGGGCTTCCTCAACAATAAGTGTCCTAAAGGCAACCATGTGGGGGATAGAGTACACCGGTGAACACGTCGTTCACAACACCTACAGGTAATGAGCCTGCTAGTGTTCCACAGGACAGTCTAGAATAGTCCGTGGTCGTCATCCATACTCTGCTGAATGACTAGAATAACACCAATAACACCGAGGCCTCTCATCTGTTTATTACACACCAATTACTACCCATGTTCTACCCAACATATTAGTAGATAAAAATATACATTTTTATACATAGTTTAAAAACCTGTATAACATGTTTTAATCAACACATATTCCACATAACAGATGAGGCATACACACATAACACGTATTTCATAGAGAATACATCAGATCTATAAGATAGAAGAGAGTGAATATACACTCACACGTATAACAACCAAATATATACACATAACACGTACTTTATAGAAATACTTCATAATATTGCGTTGGAATGAAAATAACTACACACTCACTTGATCAAAAGATGATCGGGCAGCACTACGGCTTGCAGAAGAGGTGTTTCTCCGTAGATCTGGAAGATCTTCACAAAACCGGGCTCCTCGCGGGCAGCGTTTCGGCTCGGGAATAACGCTCTTCGGGATCCTCGGGGCTTCGGATCTTACTTCGGGGCTCGGGAATATTACCGGGGCTTTGGGGTATAAACGGCACGCAAACGAGGCAAAACTTAGAGAGAGGGAAGAGTTTGAACAAGAGAAAATGGCTGAATTCGAGTTCTATTTATAGGCTGCTGGGTCTGGGATTACGCGGGGCGTACTCAAATTACGCGGGGCGTACTCAGTACGCGGGGCGTACTCGGGTTACGCGGGGCGTACTTTGACGTCACTGCGTGCGTCGACTGGTGGCACTCGAGTATTGGTCAGACAAGTTGCATCCGACTGAGTACGCGGGGCGTACTCAAATTACGCGGGGCGTAATTGACTTGTCAAACTTCTAAATTGCGTAACTTTCGCATACGAGCTCCGTTTTCGACGTTCTTTATATCCACGCGAAGGTCAGACCATACTCTACAACTTTCATTTAGACTCCGTCGGCTAATTTTGACTTTTATTTTTATTATTTATTTTTAGAAGGCCGGGACAGAAAAACTTCGTTATAAATTCATAACTTCTTCGTCTGACGTCCGTTCTCGCCTAACTTTTCATCGTTTCGCTACTAACAACAAGATCTTCGATTCTCATTTAGATTGTTTCGGCTAAAAACCGCTCGATCTTAAATCGAGTATTCGGGCTGCATACTGCCACGTTGAAACTTCAGAAAATCATAACTTCCTCATACGAAGTCAGATTTGGGCGTTCCTTTTATGCACGCTCTCGGTTTAACGAAATCTATGACTTTCGTTTAGATCGCTAAGGCTAAATTTCGCTCTATCTTAAATTCATATTTTTACATCACTCGGCGTCGTGTCGGTTCTGTCGCGAAACTTCGACATGTCATAACTTCTTCGTTATAACTCGGATTTTGGCATTCCTTATATCCCCGGAATCCTTGTTTCGACCACTACAACTTTATGCAAAGATGTCGGGCTTATCTCACACTTAAATTTTGACGCTTATTTTATTCTCAATTTATTAAATTATAAAAATTAAGAAAATACACACATAAATCACATAATTCAAATAATTCACAAATAATACATTCTTATTATTTCAAGTTGAGTTACAAGGTTAACCTAGACTATTACATTGCTAAAAATGGCAAGCCTAGAAACACGGGCGTTACAATAGGTAAACATAGTGTACATGCTTGGAGCATGGGAAAATTGTTGTTATAATTCAAGTAAGAAGTTGATTACCCGAAACAACAAATAATGAGTAATCAATATGGTGATCAAATAAAAGTGTTTTATTTATACTCAAAGGTTTGATGCCATATAGTATTAGTATTATTCTTGTGTTTCACTTTGCATATTTTGACTTCCCGAATAATAAGATTATTCAAACCGTCCACAGTCGCTCATACTTTGGAAGTAGGTATGAAAGAAGACTATCATGAATCCGTTTGTAGATTGTCTAAAGTGTTTGGACATAACACAAGTTTGTTGTAGAGTTCATAAGTGTTGCTATGAGATTAGAGTATTGGATTAAACCCACGCTCACTTGGATCGCTTCATGGATTTTATCTCGAGTGATTGATGAGACGATAATATCTTATATTCTTGAAACCGAGATGTGTGAGTTGTATTCTGCAAGTCGGTTGCACATTGATAATATGTAAATGCACCAGTAACTTGGTGTTATAAAACATATTGTTGTGTGTGATTTGATGAGTGGGTACAAGCGAGCATTGAGTCAAAGTTTATCTGTTCCTTTTACCCAAAGTGGGATAAAAGCGATATCTATGGGCCCCTAGATGATTTTGTGATGACATCCTAAGTGCTTGGCCAAGCCGGGACTAAGTTGATGTGTTCAATTGTAGTATGTTGTTAGTCGTCATAAATCGGAAATCAAGAAATAACACATAGACTGAGAGAATGATTATAATCCATGTCTCATGTCTATATGATATCTAGAATGGAGGAATATATGATCCCTTATCTAAAGGACATGTCGCTGATAAGACCAGAGTTCGGCAACGTCTTTGAGAGCTACGATTGCTAATCGGTTAAAACTTGCATTTATAGTTACTAGACTTATCCAAGTGGGAGACTGTTGGATTAGTGTCTAAGCCCATAACTATAATTGGTAAGTATTTGACCCGGTTGTGCATGGTCCTTTTGAGTTGCCTTCACCAAAGCAGCTAGATAGGATGATTTATGAAGAGAGAGGTTATTATGGTTTATTAATATATTATATGAATAATATATTAAAGGAGAAATCATATTGTTTAATTTATATCAGGTATGAATTAATTAAGAATTAATTCGGTGGCTAAAAGACATTAATTAAATAAAGGGGACTAGAACTGTCAATTGTGTGATAGTTAAATATTGGGCTAATGGACTCCATAGAATTTGGATTGGACTAAATATACGGGGAAACCCATTAGAATTTGTCCAAGGCCTTTAAGGAGGGAGTCCATGGGCTGCTTAGGGCCTAAGCAGTCATATTAGGGTTTCCTAGTTCAAAACCCTAATAGCCTCACTATATAAGGAACCCCTAAGGCCCCAAAAATGTGTGGAAGTAATCCCTAAGGGTTCTTAGTCGTTTTTGTTGCTCCTCCTCCCTCTCACAAGTCATTCTCTTTCTTGTAGTGTTTGAAATCCATTAGAGGAGTGACATTTGTAACTCTAAGCTCCAAGACAAGAAGATTCAAGCCATTCTTGTAAAGGTAATCATCTAGATCTGTTCTTATATGATAATTTTGAAATATGTATGCTAGGTCTAGGGTTCTTAAGTCTCTAATGAATTGCATGTACAATAGAGAAACCTAGATCCAAGCTTTAGGGTTTGCATGAGCACATAGGATGTTCTTTTGTATGAAACCCATCACTAATGATAACTGGTTGGCCTAATGTGCTAAGTGATGTTGCATGTAAAATTGCATGCCGGATGTCGATGTAGGAAGTCTAGAATGCATTAGTAATGGTTTTGCAATTAATTGAAGGCGTTTGATTAATGAATAATTTAAACCATTTTGCATATGAACATGTGTAATAGGGTGTTCAGTCCAATCAAAATGCAATAATCATTAATAGCTTGCAATGAAAATTTTGCATTGTCAAGTCGAATTGTTTTAATTTAGTAATCGGGGAAATGTGCCCTTAGGCTGATTATTTATGCAATTAATCTTGCAAAAACCAAATTACAACTAGACAACAAGCACACATTTGACCATCTAATTGACTTATCAATTAAAACCATAAAATATCTAAATGGCCCACATGGTTTTTTAATTGGTCCACATATATCCCTTTGAATTCTTTCTAAAAACTACGACTTTCATACCCAACTTTGTTCAACGATGGATGAGAAATTAAGTTTCCTTGAAAGCATGCAGCACAAGAGAATTCATTAGCTTGAAAAATCTTCTGGTTTTTCAAGGAATGACCACTTGGAGTTTCATTTATTTTGCGCATCATAATTGATCCAGGATGGCCCAACCGATCATGTCAAACTTTGAAGGTGTTATCATACCTTTTATTTGCAATAGCATGGGATTCAGTCATTCTAATATTTGTATAATACAATCTGGAGGACAATAATTTTTCCAAAAGACTTTTCTTACCCGAATTATTTTTGTAATATTAAGATACTCTTTATCACCATCATTGGTTGTTTCAACATGATATCTGTTGGACCGAATATCCATAAACTTAATAAATTTCTTGGCGATTTTGATGAAAATAATACATCAACAATTGTAATTATTGTCCATTGTGGTAATATTCGGAGTCTTCAATCATTTTTGCATTACCTATTATTGTATTAACATTTGCTTCTCCAATTGATAAATAAGAAAAATATGTTTGATTATTAAAAATGCTATGTGTCCTTGCATTGTCTGTAGGACATATATTTTTCTCATTTCTTTTGCGAATATCTATATTTCTCCTCAATAAATAAATAAAACATAAGAAACATTCGACTTAGAGAAATAAAATCATATTTTTACTTTGCGAAGATTGTGATGACATCATTTCTCATGAAACAAATATGATATAAAAACATAATAAATGACATGAAACAAAACTATTATACATTATTTTTCCATCACCATCCATAACACCACTTGTCTCTTCTGGATAGAAGTACAAAAGTCATTATTTTTTGTTATGTATTAAAGATAGAAATAAAAATAATGCCAAAGATAGAAATAAATATTTTTTATGAAAAAAAATATTTTTAGTTAAATAAACAAACCCCAAACATTAAACTCGCAAGATCCACCGAACCAGATCGATAGCAATATCCAAGTTACTGAGGTTGAAAATCAAAAGAGAAAGTGAAAGAACACTCGGCCTAAATTACTAATGTTGCCGTTTATGTTGGAAATTGTTGGTTATATGACTCGGAATTTTTTTTAGGTAAGGAAGAACCCTAGAAGGAGAAAATGCTTGGCGAGGAAGCCAAGGTGTTGCTAGGCTTTCTACCCAATTCCACACCTTCATCGTCACAGGTACTAATTTGCACACACCAACAGCAGCCTGACAGGCTCATCTTATCACGCGATTCACCTTTTAATGTCATTTTAGGTGAAAGCAGCTTACAAGAAAAAGGCATGGGAAACTCATCCAGATCGTTTCCCCGTTTCCCAAAGATCTCTCGCTGAATCCAATTTCAAACAGGTATATAACACCGCCACCATATTACTGCATTCAATCACTGCCTGCGGCTGACTTTTTTGATAAAAACTTTTGGCAGATTTCCGAAGCTTACACATGCTTACAGTCTGGTAAGTTGATTATCTTATCTCTGCCTGCATATATCCTTAGTCATTTTATTTTACACAAGTTGGTGACATGTACGTGATTGATACAGTAACATGGAGTCCCATCTTGATCCCAACCCTGGGATAAGAATTCACATGTGGATCGATAAAAAAAAAACGAACATGTTTATTTCATCTAATAGACTTGATACTATTTGATAATCAATCATGTGGGTTGAAATTTGAAAACCCTTACATCAATGAGTTTGGTCAGTTTTCTCGCACATTATAGTTTTATGAGGAAAATTGTTGTTGGGTTGAGTGGGGAATTAACCTTGTAGAAGCCAAATGAATGCATTCTTCTCTTGTGATCTAGCTAGGATATCAAAACCCAAATGCATGTGAATACCTGACCTAGTGGTGGTGTTGTGTTAGTGCTCCAATCTATTCATTAACAAGTGCTGATTGCTGACTCTTGTGTTGGCCTTGGTTACAGGCATGAGAAGACAAGTTTCAGCTGCAGGTAATTCTCACTTTTTGTTTTTTGAGTTATTTGATAATCCTTGGCATTAATGGGTGGTGAGAACCACAGGCACATATTCATGGGTGGTGAGAACCGGAGTCCCAAGGGCACATGGAGGAAGGAGAAACCATGCGTTGATTGGAATCCCTTTCCTATTAATTGTTTTAGGAACAGTTACTCTTGGTGGATCCAGTGGCGCTAGGTCAGAATTACTACTATACTATACCTTTCTCAATGTTTAAACTCATAAGTAAAACCCATCTTTGCTTATCTTCTCTATCAGGGCCTACCGAAGGCAGAAAGAGGCATACCCCTCACATAACCCTTTTCTTCCTTGACAGGCATCATATCTTATAATCATGTACCTCACATTCATTTGGTCATAAATAAATGTTCCAATTAAGTGCTTAATCGATGTAAAGTAGAGGCCTCTCACTTTGTTACATATAATGTTCTAGGAAAATAGTAAGTTGAAATATATATATATATATATATATATATATATATATATATATATATACACACACACACACACACACACACACACACACACAAACACACACACACTAGCTGTTTACCTGCACCAAGCGACTGGTGGCAAATAGTTTCTTTCTGAAATTAGTTTCTAGAGATGTTTAGGTTGTGTTTAGTTACAAAAAACTAGTTTTCATTTTCCGTTTTCCATTTTCTCTTTTTCGTTTTCGTTTTCCGTTTTCAGTTTTTATTGCAAAATTTAGAAAACGCATTTAGTTAAAACTTATTCATTTTTCGTTTTTAGTTTTGGAAAAATTAGAAATCGTGTTTAGATGTTTATTTTTTTTATCAGTTTTCATTTTTAAAAAATGGTACCAGTGGTAAGGTGGGGGTGGGGCAGTGGTGATGGCGATGATGGCGATGGTGGTGGTGGCGGCAACGCTGTGGCGGCAGTGGTGGTGATGACAATCAATGGTGGTGGTTGTGGTGATGGCGGCGACAATGATGGTGATGGCAGTGATGGGGTAGTTGTGGTGATGGTGATGGTAGGTCGGTGATTGTGGTAGTGGTGTTGTGTGTGTGTGTGTGTTTGTTGGGATGGGTGTGTGGGTTGGGGGTGTTTAGTGGGGATAAGTAGAGACGTAGGTGGGGTGGGAGTGAGTGTGTGTGTGGGCGGATATGCATGTGTGTTTGTGAGTGAGTATGTGTGGGTGGGTGGATGAGTGTGCGTGTTTGTTTGTTTGTTTGTGTGTGATGCGTGTTTGTTTGTTTGTGTGTGTGGGCATTATTGTGTGTTTGTGGGGTGTGTATGTGTGGGGGTGGGTGTGCCTGTGTGTGTGCCTGTGTGTTTGTAGGAGTGGGTGTTTGTGTGGGTGGGGGTGAGCTTGGGAGTGGGTGGGTATGGTGGGTTGGGGTGTAAAAGTGGGGGTAGGTAGAGATAGGTGGGGTGGGAATGAGTGTGTGTTTATATTTTAGAAAATTTTTGGAATCAGAAAAATGTGAAAAACAATGATTATCGTTTTTCTAAAAATTTCCAACGTTCTTTGTCATTTTAGAAAATGGAAAATTTTCATTTTCCATGAAAAATTCAGAAAAATAAATGAACTAAACGTGTTTTCAAAATTTTCATTTTTCTTGGAAATTTTTTCTGAAAAAAACCATTTTTCTACAACTAAGCGCATTCTTAGTTTCTCAATTAAAAGATTCGTTCTCCTTTTACGAGCAATGTATTCTTTACTGTATTTGTTGTTTTTGTTTGTGTTGGATGTGTTTTGGTTAGCTTTTTTTTTTAATCACAAAAATCCTTTTAGGAAAAGTGTTTATTGGCTTATGGATTTTTCGAAAACCAATTTTTAAAAAGTGTTTGGGTTTGTTCTTTTGTAGGAAAACCCGAAAAGGCAATAAGTTGGTTTTAAAAAGCGTTTGACTTAATTTTTTAGGAGTAAAAAATGAAGTTTGTAAAAAGTGTTTTGGTTAATTAGCTTTTGTGGTAGGAAAAATTGAAAAGCTAATATTTTGTTTTAAAGAGTGTTTTGACTTAACTTTTTAGGAGTAAAAAACTAAGTTTTTAAAAAGTGCTTTTAGGAGAAAAACAAGGATTTTCTAGTTTTTAGTCGCATATTTTGTCCATATAAAAAGCTTCAAACAGGTATTTCAAAAGCTATTTTTCAATACCCAAACATTTTTTTTAGCTTATTAGCTTTTCAAAAAGCTAATAAGCTATTTGAGAAGCAATCCCAAATATCAGCTTCTATTGTGTAGGTTGAAAAAAAAAACCATGTACTATATGAATAATAATTTAAAATAAGTTAGATAATAACACAAATAACTTGAAATTAACATGATATAATAAACACATAACTTAAAGTATGTTACTAATCTATACAATTGAGTCCAAAAAAGAGTTGAACGCACAAATTAGCAACGTAATAGTTCAAAGAGAATAATTTCAATTTGAACTACAAATGCGAAACAAAAAGAGGATACATATTTTACATCTATCAAACATCCTAAATTCTTACATAATTTTTTTACAAACCTCCATTATACATGAAGCTCTAGAACATGAATTGCATTATACGCCAAATCTTATACATGTATAAACTAATTCGAGTAAATAATTAGGGGGTCATTTTTTGTACAACTTGCAACAATGGAATATCATTTCACTTAAAAGTGCTTTTGCCAAAGTTCATGTAATTAAAAAGCAGTAGTGATCGTTACTCTGCAATTCATGTATTTATAAAGAATTATTCATTTTTACTAAACACAAAAAAATATAAATAAATAAATAAATAAATAAGAAATTAGACCATTAATTCCAAATTCTCATTCCTCATGTATTCTTCTTTATAATTATAAACAAACCTGAGACACAAAATCAACCTTGTTAACAAAAAAATATTACTCCCTCCCTCCATCTTAATATTATTGTCCACAGACGAAAAACACACAGATTAAGAAAAACATTAATTACCACTAATTTTATAAAATAAAATGACAGTTTTGTCCTTACTTTGCATTTAATGTTCTATTAAATGTTTAGTTGGTTAAGTAATAATAAGGAGGTATTTTGGTTAAAATATTATTTATTTTTAAAAATGGACTATTATTTTGGAACAAACCAAAAAGGAAAGATGAATTATAATTTTAGGATGGAGGGAGTATAATTTTAATATTGAAGGTAATGTTGTTTTGAGTATTTTTTGTTGTATTAAAAAACAAATGGTTGTTAGACACATAAAAATTATATAATAAAATTAATAATTTATTTAATCATAACTGCAAAGAAAAATTTATATATAATAATTAATGTGATGAGCAAAAGTATACATATCAACTTTTAAATTTATAAACTTAACTAACTATAGACAATGTACCTTAGTCAGATTATAGTATAGTTAGGTCATTTGGGTGTCGATCACACGGAAGAAAATTTTAATTAATAAAATAACTACTGGTAATTAACTAAATAAAACAAGTAAATTGAGGGTTTTACTGATTTCGCAAGTTCAGCTAACTTAAATCAAACAAATAACGACTAAGCAAACAAAGAAAACGGTTTTTACTTCAAGAGAGAATTTCATATATGTCATTCTTAAACATCAAAATATCATATTTACCTAACTTAATTTGTAAATATCATATTTACCCTTCATAAAATTTCTAAATATCATATTTACCTTTCATAAAATTTCAAAATATCATATATATCCTTTTTAAACATCAAAATATCATATATGTCCTTCTTAAATATCAAAATATCGTATATATACTTTTTAAACAACAAAAATATCAATGGTGATATTTAAAATATCCTTCATCTACAATATTATAATAATCAACAACAACAAAAACTAAACAATCAAAATATACATTCCATAGAAAGGGTTGAAGATGAATCTTTTTGTTTGTCAAGAGGATGATGTTATATTACATGTGTGATGATGATCATGTTATGTTTCAATTATATACTATGTGATGATACTACAAGGATGAAGTCATGCATAAGCCCCCAAACGTTTACCCAGTCTGATTCGGGGGTGTGACAAGAGCTGATGAGGGTGAGGCTCGAGTGGGCTAAGGACGTTTAAATAGGTCACAAGTCCGAAATTTAGGTTTTGCATCCTCAGCACGTACGCCTAGCGTACGTCCAGTTCCTTCGCGACCAACCATACAGATTACGCTATGCGTACCCATAAGTACGCCTAGCGTACTTAAGGAACTATTTATGTAAAAAATATAACTTCTTTGAGGGTTTCACGTCAAACCTGGTTTAGGGTGTTACAAAAGCCAAACATTCATATACGTTCAATGCGATTAAATCAAAAACTATAAAATAAAATAGGCAATCATTCATAATATGTGGAAAAAACATCATAAATGGTCCCCGTGCTTTCCTAAAATCTGAAGTTTAGTCCCCATGGTTTAAAAACATCATAGATGGTCTCTGTGCTTTCAAAACTTTTGACGATTGGTCCTTATTGCTAACTCCGTTAAGTTTTGTCCGTTAATTGAAGGGGGTCCCACCTCTCTCTCTCTTTCTCTTTCTTTCTTTCTCTCTCTCTCTCTCTCTCTCTCTCTCTCTCTCTCTCTCTCTCTCTCTCTCTCTCTCTTTCTCTCGTATGAACACCACCACAATCCCTAAAATACTAAACATGTTCTGAATTTTGGGTTCTTGAATCGATGTATAGGAAAGGAAGGAATAAACTTCGTGGTTAGTTCTAAACTAGTTGTCGATGGTTAAGTGCTACAATAAAGAAGTGGGTTGTTTGAGTTAATTGGTACGAACAACGGGGAAATGAATCGTCGTCTTCATTAGGTGGATGAAGAAACAAACGAAAAGAAGGAAAAATTGGGAATCTCCGGTGAGGCTGAGAGATCATGAGAAAGCGCAGGCGTTGACCTCCGGCGACCCTCATGGGTTCAATCTTCGTCTGATTGGAAGGGAGAAGTACGAACGAAATCAACAAATGAGGTTCTCTGGTGGGGTTTAACAGATCACGAGGAGGGAATATGTAATGCCCCGTTCCTAGTACGTATTTATTTTAATTAAATGTTCTTTTGGGAAGAGCTACTTGGCAAGTTGTAGCCCTAACTCGTCGAGTAGATGTCGAGTGGATGCGGGCTTTAAGTGATCTACTCGGCGAGTCAACGCCTGGACTCGACGAGTAGGCCAATCAGGAGGAGACCCTAATCCTTAGGGTTTGCACCCTATTTAAACGTCCTTATAGCCCCATCTCAGCCTCCATCACCCTCAGAGCATTCCTTATCGAAAACCCTAGCCTCCATTGGTAAGTTTGAGTGATTGATTGCCTTGTGAAGGGACTTTTGGTGCACTTTGGAGCAAGTGGAAGAAGGGAGAATTTGAAGAGGTCAAGGAAGGGGACTTAGATCCAGAACACATTCATTTGTGGTCATCCATTCCGGTAATAAAGTTTCCATCTTGGTTATTGATCCATTAGATCTTGTTTGTCCCTAAATTGTTGCTTT